TGAACCCCCCACCTGTTTGAGCCTCTCCTCCCACTTCTGCACTGCTCTGTGTTAGGCACCAAAGTACAAGAATTTCAAGGTCAGTAAAACACAGTCGGAGTGCTGGCTGCACTGGTCGCTGCACCGCCATGACAATAAGAGCCACTGACTTCATTAAATGGATCTTTTATCCACATTAAATACAGAAACTTGCATATAAATTAGTATGGGGAGAGAAAAAAAGCTGGATTGTGCATTCCTACTTACAATCCAATTTAAGACAAATCACCGAATTTATGTTACTACTGTCAACTTTACACTGAGACGTCACATAATTGCTCATAGTATGGTGGCCTTTTACAGACAAATGAATAAATGAGCAATTCGCACCTTCATTACTACATAAATATAATAATTGTAGGAAGGCTAGGTTTACACTACTATAGAAGAAGAATTCGCCTGTCTGGTTTTCTTGTGTTTCAGCTCTGTGGACATGCCAGAGAGGAGGAAAGTGTTAAGAGGAGTATATTAAGCTACTGACAGTGTGTAATAAGAAATCACACAGATCGACTGGGATGCATTGTCACCATTCCCAACAAGCTCTGTATTAGACTCGCTACACAAGACTTGGATTGGACCACGTCTGCATTCGGTGCCAGACCGTTTTCACACTGAAGGCTGCCAGAAAATAGGCTTGTTTTTTTTCAAGGCAGAAATCTCTCTCTCCTTCTCTCTCTCTCTGAGAGCTAATTATTTCTCCCCCCGTTTATAGCCAACTGTTTCTGTCATCTGTCTCTGTAATGACCTCTGCAAGATGTGCATGCATGCACACACAGACAAACACACTCCCAGCAAACACAAAAAACACTCAAACGCACAGACTTTTGCAGAGAAACCACACACACACACACACACACACACACACACACAAAACACGGGTGCACATACAACAGATCTGTCAATTATTTCTTCACCCTCTCCTTCCAAATGCAAAGAAGAAACTAGGGTGGCTGCGAAACGCACAAAAAAATTGTAAATGCAGACGGTTCAACATGGCGGACTCCATGAAAAGCGACCTGCAGCGTCTGTAGATAAAGCGGCTCATTCAAAGGTAAAAAAAACATAAGGTTTCCTATATTCAGCTGATTATACACTAATGAAAACATACCTATGAATACATACCTATGAATATTATATTAAAATTCTGCCAACAAAGCCTCCTTAATGTCACATACTGGACCTTTAAGTACAGTTGATGTAAGTGGGGCAGATGCGGCTGTCTCTCCTGAGCTATATCTGGGATATTTTGTTTTGTGGTATTGTATCAATTCTCAAAAACCCTGTACTGAAAGCCCCCCAACTGTTAGGGCTAGGATGCTGGATGTTAAATAATAAATAATAAATACAAATGCAGACCCCACTGTTCTAGTAAGTAAACTTTGAACTCAGATTTGATGCATATGGTGATGTGTTCTTTATACTATGACAAAAAAATAAGAAAAACAATGCAATATTTCGCCTTGCTTACAGAATCACAATATACTGAAGCGTAACCTTTGTATCGTAATATGTATCGTACCGCCAAATTCTTACAAATACCGACCCCTGTCATTATTGTTGCCCCTGTCAACAAAATGATACACATTCACTGGTTCCAGCAATTTACAGCTTTTTCCTGTCTTACATTATAAACTGAGATTGACAGTTTTCACTGTGTTCTGATGTTTTATACAGGAAACACAACAAGAAAATAACACTAGATTAATCTAATATGAAAATGTTAAGTGTTATCTCACTCCTTTTAATAATGTTATTTATCATTAAAACAGCTTCTCAATTGTTAGGATTTGCTGCTTTTGTCTGGTCTATATATTAGTCTCCAATATCTGTTTGGACAAATTAAATAAATTATAAAATATATTTGGCATATTTATTAACAATAAATCAAATTGTTTCAACACAAAATTGTTTAATTAAAAATACTGCCAGATTTATCTGTTATCAAAATATTCTTAGTTGGAGCCCTATTCGACCAGCCAGCCTTTAAAATCAAAACCGACACACACCCACACACACAACACACACACCCAACCACAGCACACACACCAACACACCAGCAAAAACCCTCAGGCTATTTTAAATCTAACAAATCAAACAGAAATAAATAAATAAAAGTGTAATTATCTTACCTAAAGAAAAGGAACTAAGCACTACCAAAACATGCACTTTGGCAACCTTGGCTAGTGTTGCTTTAGGACTGGCAATTAAAAGTACAACAACATTTAATGAGCTACAAATTACCAGCAATGCAAGGTTACAGAAATTGGTCATTTGTGAACGCTATACTTGTCAGTTACGTTCTTTTGTTTTCTGATATGTATCTTTTTATTACTATGCCAAAGTTTTTCATGAATTTAATTCTTTAGGATCTGGCATTAACTTGTCATTACAAATCCACTGAGATGTTTCATGTTGGAGTAACAAAAATAAATCCTACTTTGGATTATTTAGTCTTGAGTCTTTATAGTTCATATGCTTTTTTCCATGAATCATAGATCTACAGTATGAGAAATTCCTTGAAAAAGACAGTATCCTTACAGCAAAACACCACTGGAAAACAAATGTGTGCACACAGAACGTTGATCTTTTGAGCTCTTCTCACTTTTTACTATATGCAGGACTAAGCCCAATTGTGTATGATTACAACAACACCCTAACAAATATAGCTCACCCTTTCTGCATTCGAATCCTGATTGCCTTAAAAAGTCAAAGGTGACCCAAAATCAGAACTGTGAGATCGTAGGTTGAAGGTGTTCACAATCTCATGTTATCATGTTGACCCATGCCTTTCTTCCAGAAACTTAAGAATCATCTCTGACTCTCATTTGAATTTTAAAAACTGAAATGTGATGCCAAGAGGTTATTTGGTCAGTTGTTGTTTATTTATTTATTTATTTCTGCTAAACGTCAAAAAAAAAAAAAAAAAAAAAAAAAAAAAAAAAAAAAAAAAAAAAAAAAGAAAATAACACTTCACAAACAGTTTGGCTTTCATAGAACATAAAGCCAATCAATCATCAATAATTCAAAATGAATTATTATTATTATTATTGACCGATTGACTATAATTTAATTATCCCGATATCTGCTCTGATAATAATCGTGCATCCCTTTTCACGGCTCGTTGATCCGTGCCTGGGTGCCTGATGTGAAAGCCTCATTAGTTCCTCCTCCCCTCTGTGCTATTAGCTGGTGAATCTGTGGACTGTCCATCTTCTAGGTCAGCAGCTCTCAACCTTTCATAGCTTCACTTCTGATTGTTAACACATTTCCAAGGACCACCTTCCCAAATAAATGAGAAAACAAACATGTTGAAAAAATAACCTGGGCAGTGACAGGATTTCACCACATTCAGCACACTGTGCTCTGGGCTCAGCATCGCTGCCTGCCAACACTTTTCCATTTTAAAAAACGTTCCATTTTGTGTCACTGCATCCGAAGGAACGTTAGCTAGCTAACAGTGGAAAAAGATGCTCGTCTCTATCTGATGATGTGTTGTGATTGCCGTGGTTACATTTAGTTTGGCATTTTTTATTTAGCTGAATTCTTGGCCACATTTAGATGGACAAATAACTATCCATTTGGCAGCACACTAGATTGCTCTAGTTGGTTGACAATGGCTGTTCCCAGCTTCTTGGCCATTTGTGCTGCTTACACTCAGGATGTTTGTGTATTGAGTGCCTATTTGTCACTTGGTCCACACTGTAGCTTCTTTATATGCTGTTGTCAGGTTAATGTAAGAAAGGTAATGATAGTGTAATTAGTGTTGTGATTTTATTTCTGATATTTTGTCCAGGGCTCTCCCTGATGTTAAATTTCAGCTTCCATATCTGGCAATAAATGACTGAAATACTGAATAAATTGACTTATTGTTAAATCTTCTTAATGTTACTCATCACTCTTCTTCGGCTCATAATTTCCTATCTTAACTAATCTAACTCTTTATTACTCTTATACTACTGTGAAATATAAATCACCTGCAATTTATTAAAAATGCAGCTTTATATGTCAAATGCAGCTTTTGATTTAAAAGAACACATAACTGCTATTATGACCAACTTTTTTACTTTAGACTTTATAAACCTTGGAAATCGTTAGTGGATAAACTGAAACAAGCTCCAGCCACTGAGGATGCAGCTGGAAACTCTGGAAAAGGCTAAGTTAGTAAGTTGATTCATTTTTGTGTTGTTTTTTAGTCAAACTATATTTATGAAATCTTAATATCTTCTGTACACACTCTTATCTACTGCATGTTCATAAGAAAAAGGTCTACTCTCAACAAAAATGCATGGGGACACAAACCACTACTATGAACTAAATGAGTAGAATAAGGTTCCTGTTGCCTCCTGTTGTAGACCGTCCTTTCCATATGGCTTTAAATGGTATAACATATCTGTAATGAGCTGTTATTCTTACCTGGTTGTCAAATTTCAGTGACTGTGTGCCTACAAGGAAACGGATGGCATCAGTTTCAGCTGTCTGGGCAGTAAGTGCTCGTGCCTGCAAAGAAAATATCATGAGTGTCCATTCACACAAACACGTTTTCACAATGACACAGACTAGAATAACTATGAATTGATAATGAGACACACAGACAGTACAGAGCTATCGTTCACTGACAGGTAAATAGTAATGAATGGCGAAGCAGCAATATGTACCTGAAATTCGAGACCATAAATGACAGGAGCGTCGTCCTCCATTTTTCAGTGTGTTGCCAGAGTTAGCGCTTTTCTAATATTAGTTAAAAAAACGATGTCTCACGATGAAAACACTTAAAAAAAAACTGTAACTGTGCTACGTACTGCACAAAACACAACACAGTAGTTGAACTTCCGCGATTTAAAAACGGAAAAATGTTAAGCGTACGTAACGACAGTCGTGCAACGTTGTATTGCCTTTTAAAAGTACGTAGAATACGTCAAGAATAGCAAAAACCTCCGCGGCATGAAAATTGTCAGCTCGGGGACACCGTACTTGTAATTTTCTTGTGGAGCTGCGCATGCGTATTAGAGTCCTATCTGTCAGTCTGCAGTGAGGTAAGAAAACATATTCGTATTTGTGTTTTAATATTTTATTTGTAGTCTCTCATTGCACGGTAGTCTGTTCCGTGTTCTTTAAGGCGTGAACATCTAATAGTGGAGCATGTATTTGACATTTGCAACCAGCTGTTCAGGTGAGTTAGCTTACGATAGCCAACTGGCTAATGTAGCATTAGCAGATAGCCAGTAGGTTGACTTCCAGACAGACAACAACCCTCTCTTATCTCGGGTAAGGGCTCTATCGTGGTAGGCTTGGAGCACGAATAAAAGGCGAACAAACGGACTCTTTCACTGTTGCTGTAGTTCAATGCTAATGATAGGAGCTTATAAAAAAAATAGCGTTTGCTTAGTATTACAGGAAGTCCCTAAGAAAGATGCTGTACAGTGTTGTACAGCGCACAGAATATTGGTCACTGTTTATATTACATTAACAGGTTCATGTCGTTTATTTCTATGTTTAATTTTTCAAGAGCAGTACGATGGATAGTGGGGAGGCTCCTGCTCAGCGGCCAGTCACCTTGGACATCACAGTGGAAGATGTAATCAAGGAAGCCCCAGACCCTCCGGAGCCAGTCAGTCAGACCCCTTCCAGAGACAGCATCCTTCCCCAGGAAGACAGCATCGACCTTGGCGGAGAGTTTGCCACACCCCAGGAGGACAGCAGCGCTACGCCTTCAGATAGCCTGATGGACAAGCTCAACGACCAGATGATGGAGAGCGTCATGATTTCTGACTCGCCTAATAACAGTGAGGAGGACGACGTGGGTCCCATTGACTCCTTTCTGGATGGAGGGGAGGAGGAGGAGGAGGAGGAGGCTGCACAAGAGACTTCAGGTGACAAAGAACAAAGTGATATTGGACAGAACACAACTGAGATTACAGTTTCAGTGGAGGAACAGGAGAAAGTGGGTTCTGAGGAGAACATAGAAGAGGATGCAAAGGAGCAGACAGACGCACAAGAGCAAGTCTCAGCCTTTGTTTCACCTCAGGGTGACACACAGAGCCCACTGGTTCTGAAAAGTGAAGAACCAGCATCACAAGAAGCTAAAGGGGCGAGCCCAAAAGACGAGTCTGTGCCAGTGTGCACCATATTCAGCCAGGGCACCCAGCCCAAGTCTCTGGTTCCTGACGGCTTCCAGCCCACTCTCATCAAGTCCCCAAGCTTTAGCATGGGGAGTGGTGGGGGGAGTGCAGAGGCAGTAACCCCCAGCAAGCTGACAGCCCCCCTCGTGTGCCAGCCCAGCCCCAGCCTCAGTAAGTTCTTCACTGACAATGGACAGACCAATCCAGCCTCTGACTTCTTTGATTCCTTTACGGTCGCCTCCTCCTTCATCTCTGTTTCAAACCCAAATGCTGAGATCCCTCCTGGCCCCAGCGCAGCGCCCATAGCCCACACCCCTGAGCGCCAGCTCTCTTCCACCTCCTCGTCCATCTCCACCCCTGGAGGACCTCTGGACTCTGGTGCTCCTACCCCTAGCTCAGTGTTCGGCCCTGCCCCTACCGAATCCACCACTAAGCCACAACCTCCTCCACCCCAAGCAATCCCAGCTCCAGCTCAAGCCCCTGCCCCCCCAGCCACGCAGCCACAGCCCTTCAACCAGCTCCAGGCTGTGTTCCCGGGCAGCGATGATCCATTTGCGACAGCACTGAGCCTGAGTGAGGTGGACAGACGCCATGATGCCTGGCTGCCATCTGAGGAGACCAGGAAGGTGTTGATCTCTGTAGCCACCCAGCAGTATAACCCAGCCTATGTAGAGACCAACAGACTCACCATGCCTGGACTCAAGTTTGACAACCTGCAGGTAGGACAGGTGCATGTATACAGGTGCTCTTTATACAGCATGTGTCTGTAGAAAGCCCTGCAAATAATTTTTCCTTTTACGGTGTGTAATTCCAGACAGTAAAAGGTGTATGCAAATAAATGGATGAAAGATCACTCCACCACAGTTCACTTTACTCATCTTAAGTACAACCTATTAAACATTTCTCTGTCTCTGGACAGATTTTTTCATAACCCTCTGACAGAATATCCCTCATGATGATGTCATTGGATGTTCTTTTGCAAGGCTCACAACTTTGTGCAGTATTAAGTTACGTAATAAGAACACATAGTACTAAAACTAGGCTTACTGTTGGTTATGAGTTATTCATAATTAAATTATTTTGAGTCATTGTTTCTTATATTGTCTCCCAAGGTGAGATCTGAAACAGGAATGGTTATCATTACTTTGATATGTAAGGCTGCAACTCATGTTTATTTTTTAGTAGGCATTAATCTGCTAATTTTTAATCAACACAAAATGGTAAAATGCCCATCACAAGTTTTGAGAGCCCATGACAACACTTTCAAATGCTTTGTTTAAATCGGACCAGCCTTGTAAAAACATAAACACATTTCAGAAGCTTGAACCTGAGAATAAGCATCATTTGCTTGATTAAACAACCATATAGTTTTGTTATTTTTTCCTATTCTTTTCTGACAATCAGCTCGTTTTGTCACAACATTTGGCTCTAAAACTGCTAGAATAAGGTAACAACCTTTGTTGGAAGGTTTACAAAGCCTATTTTTATTCTTATATTGTAAATTTTTCTATTGCTAATATAAAAAAAGTATTGGGTCTTCACATGTTGGCAGACCTATTATGGCAATAAATGTTTTAGCCATGGCTCCAGCTTGATCATTCTGATTGAACAAATTTTAACATTCTACAAAGTTCTTTTGTCTGTCACAGAATGAAAGTGGTCTCAGTCAGACCTCTCTCTTTCTGTGGCACAATACATAGTACAGAGACAGATTTCACTTCTCTGGAAGTACACATACACACGCCCTTTTTTGCTCCTGGGTCACCATATCATGTTTTTTCTCTCATAACCATCCCCTGAGCCCCTTCAACAGCAACATTTATCCGTAATAACAGCCCTGATGAAACATCAATTTACTTATTTATTCAATTGAATCCTACACTGTGCGTCCACCTCCCCGCTCAGATTGTGTTCATTATCCCCTCAGAATGTGTTTGAATGCCTGCTTGAATAAATGAATAAAAATCAAGGATTTTTCTTCCGTCATCTTGGTGTTTTTGCCCACTAAGAGCCAATTTTCAGCAAACAAATTAGATCCACTCTAAAGCTGGATTAAAGATAGCATTTCCTGCGGTCTGTTTTTTGTTCTCTTCCTATTTGGGCAGGATATTGTTTTATTGATTGTACTTCTGTCCAAATCTAGGGATGTCCACATCAACTTTTTTCCCTCAGTCCACTTAATTTAATGTCTACCAATAACAAGTCCTGATCTGATATTTTTCAATTCTGCAGTTAGTACTCCGGTTCTGAGTTTTGTTGTGTTCTTCTGCATGATGTTAAATATGTGTGCGTTTCACTGCAGGGCGATGCTGTAAAAGACCTAATGCTTCGTTTCCTGGGAGAACAGGCAGCAATGAAGCGTCAGGTCCTCACCGCCAACTCTGTGGAACAGTCTTTCACAGGCCTCAAGCAGCTCATCGTAAGTCACTCACTGTACTTTTTGTGTATGAATAATTTGTTTGCGTTCACTTCAGAACATCATTCACTGTGCACTGGCAGTCTGACATATAAGGAAAGAGGCACCTTTTTTGTTATAGTCATTATTCGAGCTCTAGTGCTTATTTTTGCCAGATTATTTCGTCTTTGCATGATCTGCGTGCAGTTGGAACAACGTCTTAGCTGGACTAGTTCATTCTTGACCTTGGAAACGGCTGTTGGTGACAGTTTCCCCTCAAGTTCCGCTTACACGCTTGTGCAAGAGCTATGAACTTTATTGCACGGTTCTCATCAGTAGTTGAGTTTTGCTTAGTTGTCAGGTTATTATCTCTCTGTAATGTAGTTTAAAAAGTGACTAAGTGGACCTTGAGGGGACATTGTCTTGTCAAAAGCTTCTTTGTAGGTTTTAGTCAAACAGTACTTGAATACAATATGAATACAATTTGGTGCAATTTAGGTGCAATAGGAGAGGGGGAAAAAATGACAAATATACAAACCTGCTTTTTAAGTTTTACACAACAGTGACTGTATATATACACTCCCCACCAAAGAAAGGCACAGCAGGGCAATACTCGCCCTGTTTCTACTCACTGCTACAATGCTCTCATCTCTGGTGCTGAGTGAGAGTGAAATTGCTTAAACTACTTGTGAACGATACGCTGGCAACGCTTTTTGTACTGCAGTCCATGTAACAACTGGAGTACTCAGGCAAACAGACTCAACAGCATGACTCAGAGACAGCCGGGTCTGAATAAGAACAGTCTTTACTTGCCAAAACAGGCTCTGTATACAGGAAAGCAGTCCAGAATTAGGCAAACAAATCCAATGGGGAAAAGGTTAAATCAGGAAATATACTGAGGTCAAAATACCCAAAAAGCTAACACTAGAACATATGATTTGAACATCACAGATTTTGACCTCACAATGGATGATAGAGGCCCCAAAAGTGAAGGTAAAACGTGAGCCATGACATGTATGTATGTATGTAATAGGAGTTTAGTGTGGGGTGGTTGCTCTGCACTTGACTGTAACGTGCCCGGCAGAGACCATGAAATAATAGTGTTTCTCATAATTCTAGACAAGCATGAATAATAATTAGAGATGTCCCAAGCTGACCCTAAGGATCAGTATCTGAGCCGGTCTCGGAATACTTTAATGGATCGTATTGTCTAAAATAAAAAAGCTGATCAAAATCTGATCCTTTCTTTACTGAACTCTATTGTGTATTGCTGCTCCATGACAGCCAGGATCTACACTGTCACCATTTCACTGCACATGAGAGTGAAAATCAGAGTGTGTGAATGTGAAAAAGGATTATGGAAATAGCTAGCTTTAGCCACTTTATATACAGTTTGCTGTAGTCCTCTGGTTCCCAATTTAGGGGTTGGGCCCCTCCAAAGAGTCACAAGATAAATCAAATCATGTGATATTATTTAATTAAAGAGGAAATAATTTGTTTTATTTTGCTGTATTTGGTAAAATATTAGATAATAATAGTAATGATAACAAACTCATAGACATCTGAAACATGAGAAGAGGTCCCAAAAGGTCCATTTACCTTGCTGTAAGATGGACCTTTTCAACAGGAAACTAAATTGTCGATCTATGCTCTCTTCAAAGCCACCACACTCCTTTGAGGAAAAACTGTAATTTTACCACGCAGAAAACACCATTTGCTGGTCTACCGTTCAGATCCAAACTATTACTGGTTGCAGCAGCAGACCAGCAACGCTCATGTGCTGTAAAAGTAAATGACTGTTTTTGTCAAATGAGACTGGTAAATGCTTCAGTTTCCTGTCTGAAAAGGCTGTCTGTCAGCAAGGTAAAGCGGTTAAAATATTCAAAATATAGTGTACACTTAAAACAATATAGATTTTTTTTAGGTGGCTGAAATACTTTTTTAAAGCAGCTTTTCCAGCTTCTGATTCAATGACTTTTGGGTGTATGCACGTGCAGTGCAGCAGGTGCTTTCTGGGAACATTACCTCACTCGCTTTGTGGAGGTAAATGACAAAACCACTGGTAGGTTACCACAGCTTAACATCCTGTGGTTTCTGCAGTTTGTCTGACCTTCTGATAGTCCGCCTGTACAGTCAGTGATTCCACTGAAATTGCTGGGTGGTTAGGCCTCAGCTGACTGAAAACAGTGAATCATTCGTCTCCTTTCCCTTCATATTACATCCTCTGCTATTATTCTGCCAAGCATAAAAGTGCGTGTCTTTCTTTGTGACCGCGCAGTCTCGACTCATTCCCTTTCCTGCTGCCGTCTATCTATCTCTCCAGACCTCATGGCGTCCCTCCATCATGATTTCTGACCCACAGATGACCCTGAGAGACAGTTGTTATTTAAAACATATGCACAGCAGCAGCAGACAGTGTGATGGAGAGAGGAGAAAGAGGAGAGGAGGGGAGGGGTGGGGTGGAGTGGAGAGATGGAGAGGTGGAGATCCACTCGGCTCACAAGTTCTTTTCTCCTGCTGTGCCCATGTATTATGCATGGGACTGCTGTGCATATTTCAAGGGCCTTCTGGACTTGGTGGTGTATATATACACACACAAGATGGTACTTTCAGCTTGCAGTCAACTGCACTATATGGTGTAGGTGAGTGTGTGCGTGTGTGTGTGTAAGAGGATCATATGCTCTTTGCCAAATGGTGTGGGTGGCTCCCTAGAGCAAGAGACAACTGAAAGAGAGACAAAGACCGAGAGACAGAAAGGTAACATAGGCCTACAGGAGAGATGTCAAGGAATGACAAGCAAAAAGAAAAAAGAAAGCGAAAGCAACATTGTGTGTGTGTGTGTGAGAGACATACAGGCAGAAGAGGGCTTCACCTGGCCCTAAGCACACACACACACACACACACACGTTTTACCTCAGAATGTGGAGAACTACTGTGGGTTTGAATATCTGAATCCTTCTGAACTGATTTCTTGATCATTATCTTGAATATGTGGAGTAAATAAACAGTGTCTTTTGCATCACTAGATAACATAAAAAGCACCGATCTTTAGTAAGATAACTTTTTCAGTGTTCAATCAATTAAAAAAAAAACACAATATAAAACACACATTTTTAAGGGGAAAGAGCATCACCCAAGCACAACTTAAGCATTGTTACGTTACCAGTATCAAGTATCGGCTCCAATACTGCGTTCATATACTAAAACTACTACGATACCGCACCTCATACAGCTTTATGGCAGTGTGACGTTACATAACCACTCGTTAGTTGAGCAATAGATGAAGGAGTAGAATCAGCAGTTTGAAGATATTTTAAGCAACTTTTACAGCAACACTCAGTTGCTTACAGTCAAAAAGTCTGATGGAAATATAATGTTAGAACTGTAATAGTACTCATATTGATATCTGTATTGGCACATACTCAAATGTAAGTACTTGTACTTGTATTTGGTATGATTTCAGTGCATCCCTACCAAATAACTGCAATAGTCTATTGTACCATCAGCCTGCATGAGACCAAAGAGGAGCACTATTTGTCATGCCTTTTTCTTTAGTGTCAATTTTGCTCAGATTAACATGAAATTATTATATTCATGTTCACCAGGGGATGAATTCTAAAGACTTGCCTTGATTGTTCGTCACTTGCCACCAGCAGCTCAGAATTTTCATTTATCCTGAGAAATATCTTGAATTTTTAAACAGACATTCAGGGTTCCCAGATGACATAACCTAATCTCTCACCATTCACCATTGCACTGCCATGAGATTCATATATGTGGTTTTGAGTGAAATATCTCAACAACTATTGGATGAATTGCTATGAAAACTGGTTCAGGCATTCATGTCCCCCCTCGGAAAAATTTGATGATCCTTAAACATTTAATCTAGCACTATCATCGGTTCAATTTTAATGCATCTTAATGCATACTTTGGTGTATGAACAAATGCCTCAAAACCTAATAATATTTGCATTAGCTTCAGCTGTACTTAGCAAATGTTAGCATGCCAACATGCTAAATTCATATGGTGAACATAGTAAAGATTACCTCCTTAACACCAGCATTGTCATTGTTAGCATACCAACTTCAGTATTTATCTCAAAGCACATCTTACAGTAGTCCTCAAAAGTACCTGATTATTCCTAAATGTACCAAATGACTTTTTGTATTTTCACATTATGTTACATTCTTATTTGGATTAATGTCTGGAAAAGGCTTTATTTATACTGTATATACTGTACCAGAATATATTTATATAGAATATTTAGACACCATTATACAGTTAGGCCCAGAAATATTTGGACAGTGACACCATTTTCACAATTTGGGCTCTGCATGCCACCACCACCGACATTGGATTTGAAATTAAACACTGAAGAAATGCCAAGTGCAGACTTTCAGGTTTTAATCAGGGGTTGAACAAAATTATGTTTTTAAACGTTTAGAAATTGCAACCAATTTTTTTAAACAGTCTCCTCATTTTCAAGGGCTCAACAAATTGACCAAATACTACCATAAATAAAATTTTTCATTTTTTAATACTTTGTTGAGAATCATTTTGAGGCAATGACTGCCTGAAGTCTTGGAACCCATGGATATCACCAAAATGCTGGGTTTCCTTCCTTTGTGGATGCTTGTGGCCAGCCTTTATTGCA